CATGTATATTTAAAATTAAAAAAAATATGGATCAATATCATCTATGGAATATATCTCCAAGATGTGGTTGTATATACAGATTCTCCAGAATCAAATATTTCGAGATTTATTGCATATGAAATTGGTGACTTTCATTTTTTACTTTCATAAAAGCCTATAAGTATCAACTTTGTCTCTCCATTCTAATTCCATAACGTGGCTCATAACAGGAAACTCAGTGCTTGTGGTGTTTCGAACACTATCTTAAGGAATCGTTTGGGGGCTTCGTGAGATACAAGAAAATATTTCTTTGAGTCCAAACTCAATCCACAATCCTTGGGATATTTTGCATGAGTTTGGAGAGATGAAGGCATCCACAATCCTCTACATGCATTGTAAGAGGATTGGCGACAAATGTTATTGCTTGAGGATTCAGAAGCACTGATGTAAGCTTCTATGGAAATATAATAAAATAAGTTGTTTTATATAGTGTGTCATTGACTTGGTTTTATAGATTGTTTCATATTGTTAAAGAATATCAATCAATTTAACATAACAGATAAGTTGGTTAATTTTTGTTACCTAATCATTCTCTCATGATTTATGAAGTGATTAAATTTCATACCACATCCATAGACATATATATATTCTTGTTATGTTCCTTTTATGGTATGTGAACGTCATTAACATATATGCTTTCGTAGCTAAATTTCTCCTCTAATGAAATCGTTTATATCATCTAACTAAATTCACAAAAATAGAGTGAGATAAATCGTACAAGATTGTTTTAATATCTAATTCACTTGTATAGGATAAGTTTCACTTAGTAGTATACCCAATGAATGGTGTTTCTTCTAAAGCTAACCCAATCAATCAACAGTCTGTTAACATACTGACATTTCACTATATTTTCATCGATATTTTTAATTGATTTGAACATAGCAAGTATAATAAGCTTAAAGAGAGCCAGGAATATGACTTTTGGGATAAACCTAATCCATAATCTTTTGAAGAGAGCAAGGAATCAATGTCTTCTGATCCAAACCCAATCCACAATCCTACAATCCGTAATCCTTTTGGGAGAATAAGATCCTTTTGGAGAGAGTAAACATTGTGTTCCTCTTAGTCCAGACCTGATCCGCAATTCTCTCCTTGAAATCATACAAGGATGCTTTATTGTTTGTCACCGGTGGATGCTTGCTAATATAGTTGGTAATGAAAGCAGACAATTACTGTATATTGAACAATAATAATAATAATATAGTAATCAAGGGAAGCAATTTACGTGACTCGAACAAAGAGAAACTTTGAATAATGATCCAACTTGTATCGGCGATTTCTAGTTCAGTTCACGTTGAAAGTAGACACTATTGCATCTTGAATAATACTAATAATAACAATGATCCAATAAGGTTTTCACGAGAGAAGTTGTTTTAGCATTTTAAATAAATCACTCGAGAGAAACGTTATCAATGGCCAATATCTGTCTATTAAATTATTTGGATAGACTTTGGTTGTTTGAGCTAAAAGTTAATTCTAATTCAATATGATTCTTTTCTTTAACTTTTTTTTATTTTGAAGATAAAGTCAGTTGAGTAATTGAAAATGTTTAGTGTGTGGAGATATACAGTGAGCCTCCTTTTTTATAATAGAAGTTTAAATTTATTACATTTACTTATTGTCTGATTTATTCATAATGGGGGCATGCGATTTGATCGTAACTGTCAACATCCTGTGCCAAACCTATCGATTGGGCATGGCCCAATTGACTCTGCTCGAAAGGGCTAAGTCACTCCGTTGTGTCAGTCTTATAGAATCGAGGTGTTGGCTAGATGACTCCATCATATTGACCATATAGAGTCGAGATATTGGCCAAATGACTCTCAACCACATTAATTCAATATATTAACCATATGATCTCATCAGGTCGTCTAAGTGGCTTTAGCAACTTGATTACATAAAACCAAGTAACTAAGATGGAGCTGATATGTCGGATGCATGGCGCTGAGCAACGTCATTTTTCTCTATAACATAAATAAATGCATCTTTTATACATGTATTGTAAAATTATTAGTCCAACATTTGATTTGATTGTATCATCATCATCTTATAAAAATAAATAAAATTAATCAAATTTAGAACGTATGAAGAAAATGAAGTTCATGTTTAAAAGATAAAATTATTTTTTTTAACCTTCATCTTCTTCCTTAATTTCTCCTCCTATTTATGATTATTTATCTTTGTGTCTCAAAACTTCTTTATATTGTTTCTAGCTATTAATTCATATATAAGGATTTCATCTTATCTTAACTTGAATCTAGTAATTAAACTATACTATTTTGCTTCAAGAATGCATTGATTAACCATTATGTGATAAAATGGTTTTTGAAACGTCCTTAATAAGTCCTTTTAGATTTAAGAATAGTGTACATGTCATTACAAATTTGATATTGCATATTTAATTCTACAAATAATAATATCCTCCCAATATATTCATCTAGAAAATTTAAGTAAAATCATGATAAATTATAATTATCATTAGATAAATTATATTAAAATGATAGAAAAATACTTAATATTTTTTAGCTTGTGATTTAGAATATCATTTTTGGTAATGAATTAATATTTTGAATTTAATGATCTAGTATGAGCATATCATTTTATATTTTATTGAATATTATTTGGTTTTCATTGATGCAAGTACCTCTATTTAGACGAGGGGGAAGGTGATGGACGAAGACGATGGGAAAGGGTTGGCGACGAGGTGGAGGTGGCTAGTGGTAAAGGGTGGGCGATGTCGTCTTTCTATGAGGTGGATAGGAGAAGGAAGAGTATTTATGAGATTAAAAAAAAATATTATTTAGGAAAAATGATAACATAGGGCATCATTTGAGAAAAAAATTGAAAAAGGAGAGTTCTTTTTAGGAAAAATCTTTAGCACAACAAAAAAATTGATTTTGTTTTAAAATTATCGATCTTTTATGACTTATAAAACGGCTAAATTTCATACAATATTTTTAGATATCTATTCTTACCATGCTAATTTTAGGATATTTGTATCTTCATTTAATATAAGTGTTTCTCTAGCTAAAATTTTCACATAACTCTCCTAATATCTCATATTGATAAGAGTTTTGTTCACTCAATATATCCTTTTCTTTAAGCCATTAACGTTTAGGCCACCTACTTCCATATCACCCATGTTTTAGGACATAAATAAAATAATTAGATTAAAGAGGACACAACACATTGAAGTATATATTGGTTAAACATGAGAAAAGGGCATCATGTATCCTCGTTTTTAATAAAGAGAAATAATGAATACGAAAAATATTCACTTAGTTTTACTAAAAATAAGAAATTTAATAAATAGAAATAATGGATACAGGAAATATTCACTTTCACTCGTGACTATCACATCATTGGAAAATATTACAAAAAAACTCCACTGGCAAATTTTGATTTAGCATATCGAATTGGGCACTTATTTATCTTTATATCATTCATAGGGAATCATCAACTTTAGTCGGTTTGAATAAAAAAGATTTAAAAAAATACATATTTCTACAATCTTAATAGTTTTTTAAAGAATATTAAGGTTATGAAAGTTTCTATTCAAGTTCTAAAAGCTCACAAAAAATATATATGCTAATAAAATTGCACTGCGAGCCAAATACCAACATGCTCTGTGGAAGCATCGGAACCAAATCTTTTATATTAAATCCTCTAATTGAATTTTTATATCTTGAAAATTTCTATCATTAATTATTATTTTTTGACTCAAATGCATCCTCTTCGGCTTTTGTTCTGTGACGTAATGCATCACCTCGGCAAAGCCTTGTCGTCTCCGTATCCGCTGTTTGACCACGTCGATTCGTCTCTCTCTCTCTCTCTCTCTGTCCGGCTCGTCGTTACTCGCAAATCCGCCGTTGAAGTACGGAACTTAAACCACGGCCGCACAACCTTTTCTACTTGGATGGATTATACAATACGTCAATTAATCAATTAATATAAAAGAAGGTCGATTTCTCGAATCCCTTTACAGATTTTCCGTCGCTTTCTTTCTTTAATTTCGAATATATTTTAGATTTGACAGTCTCTACCCATTTTTACATTTCATTTCGAAATAGCTTCATTAATAAGTTTTTTTCTACTAAGTTTCAGTTTTTTTTTATGAGTTTTTTTAGGTTAATTCCTCATTTTTTTTGCTGTTATAATGTTTTTAAAAATATGTCAAAAATACTGTGACTAGGAAGTCAAATTATTTGTAGGTTTATTTTCAAATAGAGAACATCTTAAAATAATATCTATTTTAAAAATGATTTTTTGTTTTTAAAAATAAAATTCAAATAATGTGACTTTTGTATGAGTCATGGTGTTTTTCAACATGATTTTTTTGGTACATTTTCAAACATTATAACAAATGAAAATAAAATAAAAAATATTAAAAAATATTTATGTATATTTATGAAAAATATTAGAAAAACTTATGATTCGCATAGGAATTCAATCTAAAAACCTTAATTATAATATTTTTAATAGTATAAAAAATAATATAATGTAATAGAAATATACTGTAAGAAAGTAAGTAAGAAAAAATAGGGTTAAAAAATAGATAGATGATCGTCACATTAAGAATATATTCGAAATCAAGCAAAGAAGAGAAGTCTAAAAAAAAAGAAAACAATCCTCCTTTTTTTTTTTTTGAGAAATCGTTTATATATTTATATTAATATTTTTAAAAAAGAAATTGAAATATTTGAAGGGACATATATATTTTTTTTTACGCCACCGAAATTTTTATTTCCATTCTCTTTACGGCCACCCAAAGTCTTAACCACCACCGTCATGTTTCGAACAGATTGCTACGGCTGTGGGCCCTGCCACTTCAGTCTCTATCCGCTCCGACCACGCGTCGCCCGATAACGTCTTGATGCGTAGCTCAGCACACGGGAAACAGAGTGTGCGGGAGTGCGCCCGACCGACGAATCGCCCACCCGCTGGATGACCAGCCACCTGTTCGTGATCGGCCTTCAGGTATCGTGTGCCTGCGGAGGTACCCACCGAAGGCGACAGATCTCGCTTCCCACGCCGCTTCATGTGTGGTATCTGCGGCCGGGTCCACCGGCGCAGGTGATTCCCGATTGTAACGAATCGTTTAAGGTCGACCGCGACGCGTCTCCCCTCTACTTCCCGTTCCTTCCCCCCACACCTTCTTATCCTGCCTCAAAGCTGCCTCTTCGCTCTCAAAGATAGGGTTCGAAAGGGAGGGAGGAGGAGATGGCGCCGCGAGGGAGGGTGGAGCTGCGACGGATCGAGAACCGCATCAGCCGCCAGGTGCGCTTCTCTAAGCGCCGGGGCGGCCTCTTCAAGAAGGCCTACGAGCTTGCCGTCCTCTGCGACGCCGAGGTCGCCCTCGTGGTCTTCTCCCCCGCGGGGAAGCTGTACGAGTTCTCCAGCGTCCTCAGGTGCGCCACCTCCCCCTCCCCGCCCCCTCACCCCTTGCTTATTGTACTATGATTGCTAATACTACAATTCCTTCACAACCACCGCCGCTTTGGATCATATCTTTCTAGATCCATCTCGAAACCCTAGGCATTTGGTCCGCCCGTCTCTTGGTAGCCAGGGCTTCGCTTACTTCCTCTCTCGTTCTTGACCAGACGGCAGGGAGGTCGCACGCGCCTGCCGATGCGGGAACGGGAGAGGGGTCTGAGTGTGTTTTGGGGGCGTTCCAACACTGCCGCTTTCTTCTCTTTGTCAGTTGACTGTATTGTCGTCGATTCTGACTTGCCCTATCATTTCAGTGGCATGTGCACTGCCGTCCTCTTTGTTGTGTCACGTAAAACAGCATAATATGTTCTATTCCCGTAGTAACATTCCACGTTGAACGCAGACTTCTATGCTTGTTATTTTCTGGGAGGAATCGCTTGATTTATCAACATATGATCTTATATAGCGCTGCCATGACTCCCATCAGTAATTTCACATTCTTAGAATATGTTTCTTATCGTCTTAAATTCTGCTGCTTGATTTATCTGCATAGCATAATTTTGTATGCGCTGTCACGACCTCCATCAGTGCCTTTTTCATGTTACATGTTACATTTTTAGAAGCTTAATCCTTCTGTGGGGCTAAAGGTCAGTTATCACCAACTTGAAAGCTAGGATGACAAGGTCTTTGTTTGCTGATGTATCAGTCTTGTGATCAGTCAGTGGTAAAAACACTTGATTGTTCTTCTCATAGTCATTTCACCATTGCGTCACCGCCCATCAATATATTACAATGCCAACTTTAACTTGGATTCTAGAGACAAGACATCACTATATATATTAATGTCGGTGGGTGAGTTAACGTGGTATCTTATTTGAATTTACATCAGTAATTAAAAAAATATTAAGTGTCAAGTCCGTGCTCGTCTTGAAGTTCTTAAATATTAAAATATTAAAATATATAATATAAATAATTAATAAAATTTTGAAATTAAGAATTTAATAATAATTTTAAATAAACAAAGAATAGTATTGTCATAATCTAAAAAATATATTATCAATCTAATAAATAAAGATTACTTTATACATTAGTCAATAATCTATTGTTAATAATATATTATTTATTATTAACAATAATTAGGGAAAGAGAAAAAAAAGGTTAACAATAGCAGGGTGTCACGAACGGTCATCGCGCACCCGCAACAACTCCGTTCAACAAATCGTTCGTCACTCTAATATACATGTACAACTGCTTGACATTATGTTTTGGCTTGGTTTTAGGTTCTTTTGCTTGTAAAAAATGTAAGTTTGAACAAGTTGCAGCGCTACAGTGCGATCGCTCACCGAATCGAGTAAAATAGCTCCAAAACAGCTCCGTTTTCGTGTACCACAAGTTGATTTCTGCAGCCCGCTGTTGCACGCGAAACGTCAGTCATCTTAGCACCCTGGAACCACCCGAGTGGCACAGGACTGGATGGGGCTTCGATATAGTGTCGGACGTTGAACACTCTTTCGCAAGTTTGCACGTTACCTTGACGGGAACTTGTTGTCGTGCCTGGCACCCGATGAGCAGCTATTTGTGGACTTGTAACTGTTTGTTCAACATTCTAAAGTCCTTGTTTTTTCCTTCTCCCTCTTTTCTCTTGTGCACGCAAGGTGCTCGCTGAATTGCTTGTAAAGCTTCTCCTTTTTGTGAGATGTCGAGACTTGTTCGTCGCTTGTTCTTTGAACTAATCAACTTTCTCTTTTTACAGGTCCTTCGGGACCTGTGAGAGGTTGCAAGTGTGCTGATCTTTGCGGACGCAAATCGCAAGGGCGAAGCGCGACTTAGGCAACACAAGTTAAGTTCGCGTCTTTGTCGCAAGGGTGCCTCGCGACTTAGGCAACGCAGGCTAAGTTCGTGTCTTTACTGAAAGAGTATCTCACGCCTTAGGCAATTTCAGCTAGTATCAGAGTAGGCAAGCACTTCGAGCGAGCAACGAAGGAACTTCACAACTTCGCCATGGCAAAGCATCGTGGTGAATCAAGCAAGACGGGGCAAGCCGGACCCTTGCCCCAAGCAGTCGCAGGTGGGCTGCAAGTGCATATTTGTTCGCATGTTGTTGGAGCCGCTCAGGAGGAGCACGGCAGCGAACATGATGAGCAAGAAGTTGGTTACTCTCCGCGAGCGGAGGAGGCGTAATCTAGAGCGCCAATCGGGAAAAAGAGTCATAAGGAGAGACTCACAACGGCGAAAACCCACTTGGATGTTCTCGAAGCGAGCTTGGAGGAACTCTACCATGGCCAACGAAGGCTTGTTAGGGTAGAGAGCTCGCAAGAAGCAGAGTCCAGGATCGACAAGGTTGAGGCCCTAGTCGACCGATTATCAGATGACACCAAAGACTCCATGCAACACCTGTAGGAAGTTGTGGCGGAACTCACTTCGAGGGTGTCCATGTTCACAAGGGCATTAAATGCGGGAGGAAGCAACAGTCGTGTTGCGCCGCCACAAAATTTGAGGGCACCCAAGCCTTATGGTTATGGAGGGGCCAAAGATGCAAAAGAGCTCGAGAATTTCTTGTTCGATATGGAACAATACTTCCGAGCTACGAGGCCTAATTCTGAAGAAACCAAAGTTTCTATAGTGACCATGTATCTGAACGGAGATGCAAAACTTTGGTGGCGAACCCGTTTGGAGGAGGCCCAACAAGGTCGGTATCGAGTTGACACATGGGAGGACTTGAAGCGAGAGTTGAGAACTCAGTTCCTACCGGAGAACACTGAGTTCGTCGCAAGAAGGAAATTGAGACAACTCCGCCAAAATGCTTCCATCCGAGACTACGTGAAGTAATTTTCTGCGTTAATGCTGGACATCCAGGACATGTTCGAGAAGGATAAGCTATTCAGCTTCTTCGATGGTTTGAAGCTATGGGCGCTACAAGAACTACATTGAAGGAATGTCGTCGATTTGATCGAGGCAATTGATGCCGCAGAAAGGCTCACCGACTTCGTTTCCACTGAAGATCCGGGAAGAAAGAAGCAATCTTTAAGCAATTGCCCTCCAAAATATTCTCGAGGAAAGGAGCTCGGGGGCGCACAAAAGAAGAGGAGTTCCCACAAAAGGGCCAAGCCTGAAAGGCAAGGCCCTAAAACCTGGCGAATGCTTCTTGTGAGGAGGGCCGCACATGGTGAGGGAGTGCCCACAAAAACAGGCACTCAATATTTTAATAACTTCCATCCATCCCCCCAAATCAGACAAGGGCAAGGCTATTTCTCTTAGTTCGAGTAATTTTGAATCCAATAGGGACGACGAGGAGTCACAAGGACCTCGAATGGGAGCAATGCGTTTGTTGAACGTCATGTGGGGTCAAGTGGGGGAGAACATGAAGACAAAGCTACAAAAAACAGGAAGTGGTGAGCTGATGTATGTAGACATAAACCTAAATGGCCAAACGACCGTGCAATGGTGGACACGGGCGCTACCCACAACTTTATTGTCGATCGAGAGGCAAAGCGACTTGGGCTGATCTTGGAGAAGATCCCAAGTCGAATGAAGGCGATGAACTCGGAGGCTAAGCGAATCTCCGGGTTAGCAAAGGGAGTCCCCATCAAGATTGAAACATAGAGCGGGAGCACGAACATGATGGTGGTGACATTGGACGACTTCCAAGTGATCCTTGGAATGAAGTTTATGAACGTGGCGAAGTTGGTGCCAATACCGTTCCTAAACACCTTATGCATGATGGGGGGTGACGACCCCTGTGTGGGTCCTGTTTCTCGGAGAGGAACCAAAGACCCCCAACAGATATCGACATTACAACTGAAGAAGGGTACGAAAAGGCGAACTAACATTCGTGGCTGCTATGAAGCTAGAGCCACTCGACGAGAAGGCCATTCATGAACCTGCTGTGGTGGCAAACGTCCTAAAAGAGTTCACTGATGTTATGCCACCTGAGTTGCCAAAGACTCTTCTGCCACACAGAGGCGTGGACCACAACATTGAGCTGGAGCCAAGAATAAAGCCTCCAGCGAGACTACCCTACCACATGCCCTCGCCATAGTTAGCAGAACTCAGAAAGCAGTTAGGTGAACTGCTAACCGGTGGTCTCATCCGCAACTCTAAAGTACCATTCGGAACTCTCGTTCTCTTCCAGAAGAAACAAGATGGGAGCCTCCGATTATGCATCGATTACCGAGTCCTCAACAAAGTGACGGTGAAGAACAAGTATCCCATCCCGCTCATCGCGGACTTGTTCGACCAGTTGGGCAAAGTCAAGTATTTCTCAAAACTCGATCTTTGGTCGGGGTATTGGCAGGTGCGCATTACTGAAGGCAACGAAGCGAAGACTACCTGTGTGACCAGGTATGGAGCGTTTGAGTTCTTGGTGATGCCTTTTGGCTTAACCAACGCTCCGGCCATGTTCTGCACTCTCATGAACCAATTATTCAAAAAGTATTTGGATAAGTTCGTGGTCGTCTACTTGAACGATATCGTCGTCTACAGTCAAATGCTCGAGGAGCATGTCAAGCACCTTCGGATAATTTTCAAGGTTTTCAAGGAGAACACTTTGTTCGTGAAAAGGGAGAAATGCTACTTTGCTCAAACAAAGATCATATTCTTGGGGCATCGAATCGGTAATGGCTCCATTTGGATGGATAAGTCGAAGGTGCAAGCAGTTGCGGAATGGCGAACTCCAAAGAAGGTGCCAGAGTTGAGATCCTTCCTTGGTTTTGTCAACTACTATCGACGCTTCATAGTGGGGTATTCGAAGCATGTAACTCCACTTATGGAGTTGTTGAAGGAGCAGTCTTGGAGGTGGTCTGATAAATGTGAAATTACATTCCAAGATCTGAAGGCTGCCGTTTTGGAAGAACCGGTGCTCAAATTGTCGGACTATGGGGAGCCATTTGAAGTCCATACAGATGCTTCAGACTTCGCTATTGGGGGAGCAGTCTTAGAGGTGATATGATAAATGTGAAATTACATTCCAAGATCTGAA